TGGGCAGGGGGTTATTACCCTAAAATTTCAGCTTCCTAGACCCCGTGGTTCCCGAGATAATAATTTGCCCGTAAAAACTTTTACTAGCCTGTAGGTGATACCCGACAGCGCGGGAACGCTGAACTTGAATGGGCAAGGTTGGACGTGGGCAGGGGGTCATTACCCTAAAATTCCAGCCTCCAAGACTCCGTGGTTCCCGAAATATTAATTTACCCGCAAAAAACTTTCACGTGGCCGTACGTGTTACCCGCGGGTACGGGAAGGCTGAATATAAATTTGCCGCGTCACCCGCTGGCGGGGAACACTGTACCAAAATTTTAGACGCCTAGCTTTTGTGGTTCCCGAAATGTGGGATACACACACAAACAAACAGACAAACACACACACAGACAACCCCGTAACAATATGCGTTTTGTAACGCTGTTACACAACACAAAACGCATAAAAAGCAAAAAACGAAAGCGAAATTTGAGAAACCAAGAAAACTGCACAGGTCGCTCGTTCTCTTGTTCTCTTGTTCTATTGTTTAAGACAGAATGTAAGTATGATGGGAAAGATGGATACTGAAAGTAAGCGCGCATCCTTTGGAAATTCGGGAAGCCCTGACAGTGCTAGCTTATCAGTTGCGCATTCAGATATCCTAAAACGTCGAACGCATACCGATGTATTGGGCAAAAATTGAGTACAAAGGGTAGGAAGTTTGCGTTTGAATAAAAAGCCTATTTCCAGTAGAAAATATCGTTCTTGATACGACGCCACCACACAACTTATCTGAAATTTATATCGACTTTTTACCGCAACACTCCATCAATTTCAAGCAGAAAACTGAAATTAAAACGAAAACAATCGTGCTGGACGAGGCATTCCAGCGTGCGCGCGTTGTTTCACTATTTTATGATGGGCTAGATCATGTGATTTTAGAAGACAGCAATAACTCTAGAAATCCCCCAGTTTTTCTAAATAAGGAATGGCACAGCAGCAGTGAGTGAAAATCCCTCTTCGCCATGTGAAAAGCAGCTTCTAAGATGCCCTCCAGAGTAAGACCTCATTTCCTGGGCTGAGCCACTATTCTTGTCGACCTTTTTTTACCAGTGCCTAACAAATCCTTTTAATCAGTGTAAAATGTAGAAAGTCTAAAATGCAAATAAGGAAATAAATGCTGCTTCACTAAACCACAACAGGCAAAAAAGAGATGTTTTCGGATAAAACAAATGAAAATAGAAATGAAATTTCCAATGCCGCCCTCAAAAGTGCACATTAATTCCCAAATTTATGCGCAAACCTAAAATTGGTGAGCCAGCAAAATGCCCATCTCTCACGACCAGATAATTATTCCTTTCCGATGCACAGTCTCTTTTCGGCGGCGGCCAAGAAAACGTTGAAATGTTCAGAACTACACTTTCCCCAAAAGAAGCGATAATGCGCCATTGACACGAGATACCACCATCCAAACGCAGCTCTCCAAATTCGCCCACTAACGTCGCGCCACATGCTAGAAAATACCAAAATGGTAGAACTGCAAAGCAGTATTATTCTATATTCTGCCTTCCTTGTTTAAATTAAAAAAAGTAAAAAAAAAAAAAACTCATCAGATCCGATATCAAACAATCTGTGAAGATCTCACCAGTCACTTTAGTCGATAATTGAAGAAGAATACCTAATAGTTTGAAAGCGTTGAAAGTTGCTTTACATCTCGAAAAGAAGATTCGAACAGCTACCAACCGATCTGCTTACTTGCAAGTTTACAAGTTATTTTTGCTGACCGACTACCAAGGCTGCTCGACGAACAGCAGCTGAGGAAGCCAGCTGGATTTCGAATTATGCGAATGATCACAACTTCATCTTAAACCAGCTGCTGGCACATGTAAGGAAGAGGTGACGCACGATAAGCATCCGGTAGGAGCTGACTAGAGATAAGCAACGTGCATCCCAGTAACATCAATAACACAGGATTACCATACCAAATGTCTGGGCGATCTTTTTAATCCTTGTAATTTTAGAATAAAATAAAATTCTATTATAAGTGCGTGAAATGTAAAGAAAGAAGAAGAAGCAGTACTGGAAAAAAACCTGCGCATTTATAAAGTTTTTTGGTTTGCAAGATGTCACCAGACGATAACTGTACACGTTGTCCAATTTCTGGACGTCGACCAAACTTCCCTTTTGGCAGTATTGTATCCAGATATATCGCTCGAGAGAATGTATCGCGTGCATAATGCATTATAGAAGCAAAATCATAGTGCTCGCCCAATGAATCCACTTCATCCGCCTTCAGCTTTTCAAAATTGTAGTCTTGTGCTAAAACAGCACCCTGGTTCAGTTTCTTCTCGGAGCAAGGAGAGCGTCTGAACTGATACAATGAAAGTCTCCAACTTCAGCAGCGAGGTTACACGATAATAATCAAATAAAATATGAGTAACCTGTCACCTTGCTGGATATTTTTGTAAAATATATCGACATACTGATCACGATCTAATCGTGTGTGCTCATGCCAAAAGCCAATCACATGACCCAGTTCGTGTACAACAATTCCAAATTTATCACAATTTTTACCAATGCTAATCGCTTGAGGGCCATCGCTTTTTCTGCCCACATAAGAGCAACACCTGCAATTACAGAAAACCATCTTTCGAGATTGAAGGTAAACAATTTGGACAAATGAGTGAGGAATAAGCCTGTATCAAAAAGGGTTAATCTTATCATTTTTTAAAATCAACAGATTGAAGTCAAAATCTACATATCGAAGATTCTCTGAAAAACGGAGGTTTCCGAAACAAGAGCGAGGGCGATCAGTGGCACTTCTTTTGAGGGTTGCTTTAGAACAAGCTGATTTCGGTTCAGTCTTTTGATGTGCACCAGTGAACTGCAAAAAGAATTTGCTTTCCTAGTGGTGAAACCAAGGCATTCATCTTAGACTGAGATGAACGCTGCAGCAAACTTTCGAATTCCATCAATACCCAAATGACTCAGCATTAAGGCAGTTGCAAAAACCACGAAAATTGCTAAAATATTTTGCTGAGACTTCGACAATTTGCACCAGAAGACGAAGACTTGGATAATCGCTTCAGTGGCGCTGTTATCTTTAGAAAGATTTTGTTACTGATCTGGTAAAAAACTGTAAAATGAGAATTCTGCTAAATTCACTTGAAAGAAGACAGTTACCCGCATTTGTCAACAGTGAAGACGATGTAGTGCTGATGATGTGACTGACGCGGTATAAACGAGATACACGTGTGGTTCTCCCAGTGGCGCATTGCCCGCTGAAACAAGTGCATATGTTCACCTGAGGAGTGGAACAGCTGTTCCGAAATGTTGAGTTACCTGAGAAATTCGTCGAGATCTCGTACGGTATCACACCATCTGGCCATATCCGTTCTTTGCGAGCTGTAGCTGCCCTAATCCTCCTCCTGAAAAAATGTGCCAATTGCTTGAATGCCACTTCAATTAGCCGTTGAAATCATTGCCGACAATCGTTTCTGTTAATTTTTGCACACTGTAAAATTATTAACCGACCATACAATAATGTGCTGTATGCGAATAAAAACTGAAAATAGCACTCAAACAGTTTTGAATCCGCAATCCTGACTACTTATTTCGTAAGTTTATCACCATCGATGCAATAAAACAAATTATGATTAATGTTCTTTTCTCTTTTCCTCTCCCTCTCTCTCCTTCTATATATTATTTCAGCTTCATAGCTTTAGTAGTTTTGATGTATATATATATATATATATATATATGTATATATATACATGTATATATATACATA